TCTTCATTCTTTCCTTCCTCCCTTTTCTGTTTTTGTTTTCTTTTCCCTGCTTTCACTCCTCTTCCTCCCTTTCTTATCCATACCTTCTTATTCTTCTCTCCATCTCTCCCTTTTCTCTACTTATATCTCTCCTTCCAATCCTTTCCTTTGGTTTTTCTCCTATCACTTTTTTTCTCCTTATTATTCTCTTTCCTTTCTCCCCTTTTCTTGGATTGGCGTTTTCGTGATGTATGCTGGTCAATATGGTGTTAGCTCTGGAAGCTCTGGACTTTCTTAACCTTATTTCTGACTCTGTTTCGAGCTGCTCACGTTCTATTCGCCAGCATTTTCAGCCTGCTCTGGATATTGCCAAAATGGAACACACTCTGCACCATGAAAGATGTTTGAGCTGTGTCGAGCGTCGATTATATTTCGAGCCATAGATGAGGTTGGGCAGTGGCTGAGACCAGTGCCAGTAGTCAATCCAAATGGCATGTGGCGACTGCTCAAACAATAGTACTACTCCTAACACTACACCCTACACCACCATACCATGCATGGCGTATGAAAATCATAAACAATGTGCATTGAAAAAATATTGTGCTTTGTGTGCCCTTAAAACAGGAATATCTTACTTCAGCGGCTGAAAACATAGGAAATCCACACCTAGATCATGCAAAAAATAGGACAACTACAATATCACTTCTAAACAAAACGTCTAACTTCTCGGAGGCTAATTTTGGCCCTTCTTTAAAATATGGCTGCATCTTGGATTTTTCATTGCCAATATCGGGCCAGTTATTTGATTAGTTCACTGAGAAACAAGCTGCTCCAATTTATGCTTTGTATCATCATTTGCACATTTTTCTGCTATCATCCTATCACTAAGTAGAAGAATCCACACGGAGAGAAATGAGAAAAAAAAGAAAGAGGCAGAAGGGAGGGAATAATATAGAATGATGAGCAGATAAAGTACAATACTTACGGGAATCCATCGGACCCGGTGTCTCCCTTCTTCCCTTCACCCCTGCACTAACACGCACAACGTTATTAATGTATATCTTGTAAATTTAATTGTAATTACATATATTTAATTATTGACGTGTCCGTGGATAAATCTCGCCACTCCTATACAATAGGTATCTAGTGTCATCGAGTAACATCAGTAACCGTCCCACTGTCTTCCGCTCGTGCGTTGCGTGTGTGGTGTGATCGTATGGTGCGTGCGTGTGTTTGCGCGGCTTTGCTTGTGTGTCCTTGTGTGATTGTAGGCCCTGTGTGTGTGTGTGTGGGTTAGTGCGTGCGGGTGTGTGTGCGCGCGGTGCGTGTTGTGTGTTTGCGTGTGTGTTGTGGCGTGTGTGTGTGTGTGTTGCTGTAGTGTGTGTTTTGGCTGTGTGTGTGTGTGTAGGTGCGTGCGTTGTGAGTGATGCGCGTGTGGTGTGTGGGGCCCGTGACGCGTGTCTGTGCGTGTTGTGCGTGCGTGGTTGTGTGGATGCGTGCGTTGTGTGTGTGTATTGGTGTGTACGCGTGCGTGCGTGCGTGTTGTGTATGGTGTGTAGTTGGTGTGTGTCGTGAGTGAGTGCGTGCATGCGGTGCGTGCGTGAGTGTGTGCGTGTGGTGTATGTGTCGGTTGTATGTGTGTGTTGTGTGTGTGTATGTGTGTGTGTGTGTGTGTTGTGGTGTGTTGTAGTGTGTATTGTGTGTGTGTGTGTGTGCTGTATTCGTGTAGTGTGTGTGTGTGTGCGCGTGGGTGATGTGTGTTTGTGTGGTGTTTGATAGGTGTGTGCGTTGTAGGTCGCCCCGCCCCGCGGGAGGGTGTGTTGTGTGTGTGTGTTTTGTGTGTGTGTGGTGTACGCGTGTGTGTCTTGTGCGCGCGCGTTGTGTTGTGTGTGTTGCTGTAGTGTGTTGAGCCGCGCGTGTGTCGTGTTGTGTTGTGTGTGTTGGTAGTGTGTGTGTGTTGGTCCATCGACGGGTACTCCCTTGGAAACACGCACAACGTTATAATTAGTCTTGCTAATTAGATTGCTAATTAATTAATTAATTAATTATTGAACGTGTCTTGAAAACTCGTCACTCTATACAATAGCGTATCTGTGTCATCAGTACATCAGTAACAGTACCCGCTGTCTGTCTGTGTGCGTGCGTGTGTGTGTGTGTGTGTAGGTGCGTGCGTGTTGTGTGTCTTGTGTGTGTAGGTGGCCGTGCGTGTGTGTGTGCGCGCGTGTGCGCGCGTGTGTGTGTGTGTGTGTGTGTGTGTGTGTGTGTGTGTGTGCGCGCACATGTACGTGTGCGCGTGCGCGTGTATGTGTGCGTGCGTGTGTTAAATATAGCAAGCCTATATGACTGTACGTAAGTGACGCGAACGCAGGAGCATAGTCGGCCTGTTTAGATGGGAACAGTATAACATACAGCTACATACAGCTACATACAGCTACATACAGCTACATACAGCTACATACAGCTACATACAGCTACATACAGCTACATACAGCTACATACAGCTACAATCAGCTACATACAGCTACATACAGCTACAAACATCAAATTCACGTGTCTTACTATAACATCTCTTGATTTCATTTATTCATCTTATTTCTTCTTAATTACTCGTTTAAACTGTCAATAACCCCCCTATAACAGCAAACCCAGCATCTCATGGGATCATTGAAAACATTCAATTCATCATTCAACATTCAATTCATAATTCAATGAAAACACCTCAAACCCGAAACCTATCAATCTAACTATTAAATCGTAATTTTGGGTTAATTCTTAAAATTAATCAAAAATTAATCCAATCTATCTAATAACAGCGTTTGTCGACGACAGGTGGCGCCACTAACCGGTCTTCCGGATAGTCCGTCGGCTCCTCCGTCTCCCTTGATTCCCGGCGGACCCTGGATGCCCTGCGGGCCCTGAAACGAGCGCAATAGACACGCATGACGTCACATCCGGTTCGTCTCGGTGGGGGGGGGCGAGCACAACCTGTTTGACTGTATCTGCTTTACACTGCTCTCTATCTTGCTCAGTTGCTATACGTTGTAACGTGTATATAATGCGCTGACTGCGGGTGTATATGCTACTACGTATGTGGCCCGCGGCGGGAAAATAACGCAATTGTCTCCGAAATGACGTTCGGGTTAGTCGATTGTTCAGATCCGCTGGCGCTCAAGTTTGTGCGGGAAGCGAGGTTTGCTTCGTTAAGCGCCCGTTTATTGCTAATTAAGTGCTCTGTAACTGACCGCGACCGTCCGTCCGTCCATTAGTCCGTCTGTCCATCCTTCTGTGCGACTGTGCCGATCTGTCCATCCTCGTCTACAATGGTGCGTCAGGTATTCCATCTGTCTCTGTCAATTTGTCGACTGACTTCTCTGTTTTTGCGTCCATTCCCAGTCATCCATCCATTCTATCCATCTATCCGTCCATCCGTCTGTCCGTCCGTCCGTCCGTCCGTCCGTCTGTCCGTCCGTCCGTCCGTCCGTCCGTCCGTCCGTCCGTCCGTCCGTCCGTCCGTCCGTCCGTCCGTCCGTCCGTCCGTCCGTCCGTCCGTCCGTCCGTCCGTCCGTCCATTCATCCATCTATCTGACCGCACGTTTCCTCTAGCTCTTCACAGAGGCATTCCATGACCCCCCCCCGCGTTATGCGTTAATACACATCCCCCACAGTCTACCGACAGAGCGAGTAGAGAGCTGATAGCTGGTTAATAGATAGGTACTGTAGACTTACGACGGGTCCAGGCGGTCCTGGTGGTCCGATAATCTGCAACAAACAGCAGCAGAGGTATGTGTGAGTGTCATGCTTGTCTGGAGAAAGAGGAGGGAAAGGAATGGGACGAGGGTGGGAAGAGAAGGAAAAATGGGACGAGCCGAGAGAAGCGAATAGGAACACGAAAGTCGGAGAAAAGGGATGGAAAAGGTAAAGGAAATGAAACGGAAGATAAATAAAGAAAGAGGAAAGAGGGGAGTGAAACGGTGAGAGACAGAAAAATGCGCGAGATAAGGGAAACGGAGAGAGAAAAGAAAAAGGTGAAAAGAAACAGGAAGCGGAACAGGAAGAAGAAAGAAACTGAAATTGTAAAGGGGAATATGAAACGCAAGACAAAAAAAAGAGAAAGAAAACGTGGGCGAATGGATCGGTATGGGTAACAGAGAACACACAGCGCCCTCGTGTGTTAAACATCGTGACTACACGGCTGACGATAGCTTGGCATGCGTCCCTGGTAATGGGTTGCAAAATAAGCGAAAACTTTGCCTCATTAATGAGCGAGTAATTACGGAGGAGTTGGTAGCAGCGACGCTGTGGATGCAGTAGTCGCTGGGTAACCATGGTTACTCACCATCTCACTTCCAGACCCACCGCCGCCGTCTCCTCCCTCTCCCTGAAACAAATGAGAGAAAATGGTGATGAGATCCAGAGAGCGAGAGAGAGAGAGAAAGAGAGAGAGAGAGAGAGAGAGAGAGAGAGAAAGAGAGAGAGAGAGAGGGAGAGAGAGAGAAAGAGAGAGAGAGAGAGAGAGAGAGAGAGAGAAAGAGAGAGA